CCAGGAGTGCCTCCCTTCCCCCTGGGCTGACCCCGCTCCCCTGCCCAGTTCCTCACTGATGAACCCTCTCTGTGTCTCTTCTGTGTCCCCTCTGTGTCTCCCAGTGTCCACACTTGGTCGCTGTGGCCTCTCCTCTCCATGGCTCCCCTGTCTCAGACCCTGGCACTGCTGGCAATGGCCATGGCCACCACGGCTGTCGATGTGATCCCCTGGACATGGCCCGAGACTCCTTTGATGACCAGTACCGGGGTTGTGTCCCTGCCATGACCGGGGCATTTCCGGCCCTCAACCACTCCGAGTTCAAGCAGAACAAGGAGTTTGCTGAGGTTTGGGCAAGGGCTGCAGAGTGGCAGAAGCGGGAGGCCCCTGAGTCCCTTCTGTCCCCAGACCAGGCCACCGCCATCTGGGCCTATGCAATTAAGGGCATGGACAAGGAGTTCAATGCGGCTGTGGGTGTGGCTGGGCGCTCCAGCCAGGAATACTAGGACAACTTCCACTTCAAAATGCTGCATTTCCTGCTGACCCAGGCCCTGGTGATGCTGTGGAACACTCAGGGACCAGGGTGTCGCAACATGTACAAGGTGGTGGATGGTGTCCAATTCAAGGCAGAGTCTGGTGATATTGTCTGGTTTGGTCAATTCACATTGGTGTAACAGAGGAAAGAAACTACCAGGGGCTTTGGGGATGCCACAGTGTTCAAGGTGCACACATGCCACGGTGCAGAAATCCAGCCATTGTCCATGTATCCTGATGCGAAGAAGGTGCTGATCCCACCCTTTGAGACCTTCCAGGTCTTCAAAGTCAGCGAGATGGGAGACAGGATGAGGATTCAGCTCTGCTCCAATGGGACCTTCAGCAGCTACAACTGCAAGTGGCTACAAGGTGACACCACAGGCTGGGGGGATGGGGACACCCATTGTGGCTGTGGGGACATGGATAGGTAGGCACAGGGACAATGACACTCCCTGGGCATGGGGGACAGGGACATGGGCACCCACTGTGTGGGTGGGACAAGGACACCCATGGCTGCGGGCAAAGACAGGGATACTCAGCGCTGGGGACACTCAGTGGGGGTGAGGGGAGAGTGACACCCAGTGCTGGGGGCACCCACTGTGGACAGGGGACACCCATGATAGGGCACAGGGGGTAGGGACACTCATTGAGAGTTTGGGGACAGGGAGAGCCCATCCTGGGGACACCAAGTCTGAGGACACCATTGTGGGCACAGGGACAGGAATGCCCATGACAGGGCACAGGGTGGGGACCTCCATATCTGAGAGGGGACAGGGACATCCTTGCCAGGGGACAACAGGGAAAGAGACAGGGATGTCCCCATTCCGATCCGGTCCCTCCCCACCAAAGGCAGTGCTGTGGGGATGGGCCCTGTGTGCTGGACATGGGTGCACTGAGACCCCTCATATCCCTTCCTGAACCCCTGTCACCCTCTGTCACCTGCCATGGCACCCCCTGACTCCCCCGACCCCTCTCACACCTAAGTCCACCACGACACCCCTGACTTCCCCCAGACCTGTACCCCCAATGCCCCCCCCCAAATGCCCTGTCAGCTCGTGACTCCCATCTCTCCTATCACCCCTAATCCCCCATTATGGCTGTCTCCAACCCTCTCACTCCCCACATGATCCCCCTGATGTTCCTCTCTTTGTGGAACATGGCAGTGTCCCCAGGGCCACCTTCCACCTCGGAGGACTCCTCCTGGCCACCACAGCCCTGGCAGTGGCCACTGGGATCCTCTGTGCCACTAGACTACCATGGCCTCCAAGGTCACTGTGGCCACTGTGGGCACCCTGATCACCAAGACCACCAGGGACACCAGAGAAATGAGGCCACAAAGGCTACCAAGGTCACCACAGCCACTCTGGCCATCATGGTCACTATAACCACCAAGGGCACTGTGGCCACCATGATCACCTAGAATCCTTCCGCCACAAGGCTACCACAGACACTATAGCTACCAATACCATTTTGCAATGCAATTGTATTAAAAATTTAAATCAAAACTATTTCATTAAATCAATCTGACAAAGCCAGCAAAAAGTGACAATTCCTTAGCAGGGCTTGATGTCACTCCCCACACCAACACTTGTGGCAATGTTTCTTTTTCTCAACCTCAAGGAAGAACCCTGGGGAGCATCCACTTCCTAAAGGAGGAACCTCACTCGCATTTCATTCCAAGCAGGATTCCAAAGGGAACCTCTGTCTGAGAGGGGACTGGACATTCCCAGGGTCAGATGATGGACTGCCAGGCCCACCAATGATGATCCACTCTCACTTGTCAATTTGGGGTTGGTGATTTGGGCTGGTTTTAGCCCAATTCGGCACCAAAATCAGCAGCAGACCGCTCTCAATGAAGCCGTGGTGGCAACAAATGTGGCATTGTCCCTTGGCCCCATTTCAGGCAGAGCATCCTGCCACATCATGCAGTTCAGGGGGACCTTAAAGGCTGGAAATTGGGAGGTTCAAGAGGGCAAGGGCAGGTCCTGTCCCTGTGGAGGGACAGTCCCTGGAGCAGCTCTGGAGAAAGATGTGAGGGTGCTGGTGGGTGACCGATGGAGCTGGCTGTGTGGCCTGGGGCCAGGAGAGGTCCAGGGAATATTGGGAAAAGTGAGGCCAGGAGATAAGGGATTGATCGTGCCCCTCTGCCCTTCCCAGGGAGGCACATCAGGAGTGCTGTGCCCAGCTCTGCCCAGTGCCGTGTCCTGTTCTGGGCTGCTCTGGACCCAATCCTGTGTTCAGGGATGACACTGCCTGAGCTGGGAGGTTGGGCCAGGTGCCCGCTCTGGGTCCTTCAGCCTGACCCATTCTGGGATTTGGGGATTCTGGCAGTTGTGGTTTAGGAATTGTCCACCTGAGGGCAGCAGAGAGCGTGGGAAATCAGCAGCACTGTGCATGCGCCGCTCCCAGCTGCAGTTCCGGGTGCCAACAGCAGGCGGCAGCACGAGCTGCTGGCGCTGCTGAGCACCCGCCCCGCCCCATCCCGGCCCCGCGGGCTCTGCAATGGTTTGGGATGGAGCGACCTTAAAGCCCATCCGGTGCCAGCCCTGCCATGGGCAGGGACATCTTCCCCTGGTCCAGGCTGCACCAGGGCTTCACCCAGCCTGGCCTTGGACACAGCCAGGGATGGGGCAGCCACAGCTTCTCTGGGCAGCCTGTGCCAGGACATCACCACCATCACAGGGATGGATTTTATAGGAAAGGTGGGTTGTGAAAAATGAAGAGGTGGATTTGGTTCTTTTTTGGGAGAAATTGTTGTCAATGTCTTCAAAATAGATCTTGATGGCTCCACAGACATGCAGTTTTTCACAGAACCCCAGTGCTTTGACCACAAAGTTTGAACTGCAGAACTTTCGGCTAATAAGAGAAATGGGTTCCCACACAGTCTATTCCATACCCCAGACAGCCTGAACTTCTGAACTTTGGGGGCGAAATGACAGCTTCAAGGGGGATATGGGGTAGGTGATTTGGGAATGCTGCACCTTCCTGGTACCTCAGCCAGTGGGGAAAGGGAGAGGGCAACATGTGGCCAGGAGTTTCAGATAAAAGGAGGCTGCATCCTCCGAAACCCAGAGAGAGAAACTCCATGGGTGGTATGGCTGTGGAAACTCTGCCCCTTTATTTGAATCAAGTTTCAAGACTGCTTTTTCAACACTTGGCTTTTCATAGTGTGGCTTTCCCCCACATACTGAAGGTGCTGGGTAGAGCTTAAAGTCTGACTGGCAAAAAATGATAAAAGGATGTAAAAGTATTTACACACCACATTAAACATGGCTCTAAACAGTGGAGAAAGAGGTAAAGGGAACTCCAGTGGCGTTTTTGACAAATTCTGAAACACAGAAGGAGCTGCACCTGCCCAAAGCGAAAGTTTGAGGCAAGGTCATCTGAGATATTGCAGCACTCGGTGAAAATGACCCCCAAAAACCCCATTTTTATGACGAGGCAGAGCCATGCCAATTATTTATAGGAAATGTGCTGGTTTTGTATTAGCTTAGGAGCCCATTTGAATGAATATGTATAATTGAGACAGATAGACTCTGTATGGCAAAGTCATACAAAGTCCTTTATTGTGCAGGACCAGGAGAGATCTTCTGTGAGTCCAAGTGGATCAAGAACTCCGGCTTTCTGCTACCTCCAGTTCAGTCAGGGAGTTCACTCCGAACAATTTCGGTATTAGGGGCTTGGGGAACCCCTGGGAAAACTTATGGTGGGACAATCTGGATGCCATCATGGTATCGGGATTGCAGCCCTGGGAGGAATGGGGAGGGACCCTGGAGGAGAATATGACATGGGTTTGTTGTTCTGGGGGAACCTGAGGGACACTGGGGCACATGGGACTGGGGTTATCTGAGCTCTGGGGGGCAGCAGGGGGTCCCTGGGAGTGTGACTGGGGCCTTGGGAGAGCTAGGGGACACTGAAGGGGGCAGGGAGTCATCCCTGCATTTGGGTTTGGGTCCTGGGGTGTATCATTTCCAACAACTCCAAAGGGAACACCAGAGTGGGAGTGGGATTGGGGCAGGGAGGTGGGGCAGGAGTGACAATGGGAGCGTCAGGGGGTGACCCCAGATTTGGGTTGGGGTCCTGGAGAGTCTGAAGGGACACTGGGGACATTACACCAAGAATGCGGGTGCGGGATTTCGGCCCCTAGGAGACTGCAGGACACTGGGTCACCCAGGAGTGACCCCAGGATTTGGGATCAGGCTCTCAGGATTTGTATAGAGGTCTCTTGGCAAAGGCTGCCCTCTCTTTCCTCAGGCTGACTCCACTCTCCTTCCCCAGCCCCTGATGGAAAGATCTTCTCTGTGTCCCATGGTTCCCCCCTTCCCCTCAGCATCCTCTCAGTGTCCCATTGGTGTCCTGCCATGTTCCTCAGCGTCCCACAGTGTGCCCTCAGTTTCCCAGTGTCCACCAGTGTTTCACAATAGCCCTGGTGGCCTCTCCCTTCTCTGGACTCCCTGGTTAGGACCCTGGCACTGCTGGCAATGACCATGGCCAACACAGGCTTCTCAGTTGTCCCTCTGGACATGGCCTGGAACTCCTTTGATGACCAGTACCCAGGCTGCCAACACACCATGACCCAGTTGTTGCCTGCCCTCAACCACTTTGAGTTTGAACAGAATCCTCTGTTTTCCCACACCTGGGTGAAGGCTGCAGCCGAGTGGTGGAGGCGGGGTCCCCCTGTGACCCCTCTGTCCCCAGCCCAGGCCATCGCCCTCATGACCTACACAATGAAGGATGTGCACAAGGAGTTCAACGCAGCTGTGCATGTGGCTGGGCGCTCCCACCAGGAATACTGGTACAACTTCCACTTCAAAACACTGCATTTCCTGCTGACCCAGGCCCTGGTGACACTGAGAGACAATCGGGGACCACGATGTCACCATGTGTTTCAGGGGGTGCGTGGTGTTCGGTTCGAAGCACGGTGTGGTGACACCATCCGGTTTGGTCGATTCACGTCAACATCACTGCATAAACAGATTGCTCAGCAATTTGGGACTGACACCATGTTCCAGGTGCAGACATGTTACGGAGTGGATATCCAAAAATTTTCCTCCAAGCCTAGTGAGGAGGAGGTGCTGATCCCACCCTTTGAGACCTTTGAGGTCACCAGTGTCACCCAGGAAGGAGACAGGGCATTGATCCAGCTCCGCTCCAGTGGGACCTTCAGCAGATACAAATGCGAGTGGCTGCGACGTGACATCATGGGGAAGACCTGGAAGACAGGGATACCCACTGTGGCTATGGGGACACCCATGATAAGCCACAGGGGACAATGACACCCACAGGTGATGGGGGACAGGGACAGGGACAGGGACACCCATGACATAGCACAGGGATGGGGACAACCACTGTAGGTATGGGGACACCCATGATAACACACAAGGGACAATGACACCCGGAGGTGATGGGGGACAGGGACAGAGACACCCATCACATGGCATAGGGATGGGGACTCCCACATCTGGGAGGGGACAGGGACACATCTTCCAGGGAATGTCAGGTACAAGGACAGGGAAATGGACAGAGATATGTACCCTCCTCTGCTGTCTCTGTCCCTGCCCTCTGCAGACCAGCTCTCTGGGGACCAGCCCTGTGAGCTTTTCGTTGGTGGGCCAGGATGATCCTGACCTCCCCTGAACCTCTCCCACCCCCCTGACACCACTCACTTCACCCCCTATCTCCTCCTGACACCTGTCAGACCTAAAGCTCACCCTGAACCTCCTGAAATCCCTTTCTCCTGTATTACCCCACTGCCCCCCTGACACTTCATCATCCCTAAAGCCCCCATGGCCCCTTGACCACCAACCTCCCTCCTGCACACCAGCCACTGGTCACCAACAACCTTCGCACTGCCCATGGCACCCATCTTTACTCATCCCATGTTATGGCCCCCTCTGAACCCTGGACAGCCCTCATGGCCCTCCTCACCACCCTGATCCCCACCCCCATGGTATTCCATCCCACCTGAACTCCACTCATGCCTCTCCTTGTACCCCTGAAATCCCTGACCCCTCTCTGACCCGCCTCAACCTGTTCAACCCCATGGACCACTCATCCTCCTCTTTTTCCTCCCAGTTAGCAGCATCGCCAGGGCCCCCTCTCACCTTGGAGGGCATCTCCTGGCCACTACAGCCCTGGCAGTGGCCACCAGGATTTTCTGAGCCATGACACAACAAAAGTCACCATGGTCTCCACAGTCACCAAAGGCACCATGAACCCCAGAGAAAAGAGGCAACTAAGGCTACCAAGGCCACCACTACCATTTTCCCTGGGCGAAAAAAGGGAAAAAAAAGGAAGAGAAGAGAAAAAGAAAATCCTACTTACTCCCACCCCCCAACATCTCATTAACTGCCTTTTAATTCTTTGAAAATTCATTTATTTTCATTCTTGCCCAAATCCTGGGAATTCCCACATATTCTGCACTTAAACCAAACCAAACTCTATTTCCTCATCCCATTTAATTCAACTAGAAAGGAAAAAGAGGAATGTTTCTTCACAAATAGATTGTGTGAATCCGGTGGTAGACAGAGCCAGGGATTTGCAGATAAGGAAGTTACCGGAGAAACTATCAGTTTAAGAAAATATTCTTCATTGACATGGACTGCTGCACAGACAAGATCCTGCAAAATTCCTGAACCACGAGAAGAAGAACAAAGCTTTTACAGGCTTATGAATATTAATTACCCTGTCCAGGGTGAAGTTAAAGCTCATTTTAATGGTCAGGGGTTAGTGTTACAGAAGGGTGGGGTGCATAGCAAGGGGGACGTTCAGTAGGTGGATTGAGAAGTCTGCACCTTCCAAGTACCTCAGCCAATGGGGAAAGGAAGTGGGAGATATGGGTGGGAAATTGGGGTAAAAAGGAGGCTGCATCTTCCAACAATTTGAGACACCCCATGGGGAAATTCCCCATGGCCTCTTCCTTTGATCACAAATAAAACTACAGGGCACTTCTGTCTCCTTTCTGCAAGTAAATCTCTGGCAAGGTGAATTTTTCTGCTCTAAAGGTAGATAGCACAAATGTTCCACTTCAATCCTAAGCGATATGCTCAGCTGCAGTCAGAGTCTCATCCACAAAATGGCAGCTCTGTCCTTTATACCCCTGGTGTTGCATCAGACAAATACATATTCATAAGCAGTCATACATATTCAAACATTTTTCTTCTTAATCCCTGACCCCTCCCACCGTCTGCCAGTTAACTGTTCCATGCTGTCCATTGGTGGAGACCTTCCTGCAGTGTGGTTGGAGGTGAGATGTTGCCATGCCACACCTCCCCGCAGCAACAGGCTTTCCCCATTCCCAACCACCCCATGCAAGGGGCACAGGTACATGTCCCTGACAATCCTGACAACCACAGCTGTCCTGTACAACAATACAGGTGGGGGAAAGGGGGCAATGGGGAGAACACAGAGTGTCAAAACAACAAACTAAATAACATAACCATACATCAACAAAATTCCGCTTAACATAAACACAATATTCATCCCTTAATTTTGAGAGTCAATCATCATATTAGCCATCTATAACAAAGCTGTGGCTGTCCCACTCCTGGAACAGTTCAAGGCTAGGTTGGGCAGTGCCAAGAACAGCCCAACCCAGGGGAAGAAGTTCCTGCCCATGGCAGGGCTGGCACCGGACGGGCTTTAAGGTCGCTCCATCCTAAACCATTGCAGAGCCCCCGGGGCCAGGATGCGGCGGGGTGAGCACTTGGCAGTGCCAGCAGCTCGTGCTGCCGCCTGCTGTTGGCACCCGGAACTGCAGCTTGGGAGCGGCGCATACAGAGTGCTGCTGATTGCCCACTCAGGCTGCTGCTGCTCTCCAGTGGACAATACCTGGACCCCAACTGCCAGAATCCTCAAATCCCAGAATGGGTGAGGCTGGAAGGACCCAGAGTGGGCACCTGGCCCAACCTCCCAGCTCAAGCAGTGTCATCCCTGAGCACAGGATTGAGTCCAGATCAGCCCAGAACAGGACATGGCACTGGGCAGAGCGGGACACAGCACTCCTGAAGTGCCTCCCTGGGAAGGGCAGAGGGTCCCAAATACTCCCGGACTTCCTGGCTCTGGTCTTCTCAATGCCCCCTGGATCCCTCATGGTCCCAGACCACAGAGCCAGCTCCACTGGTCAACCACCAGCACTCCCAGGTCCTTCTCCAGAGCTGCTCCAACAGGTGCCCCCAGCCAGGGATGGCACTGGGGACTGTTCCTCCCCAGTGACCAAACCTGCTCTAGCCCTCTTGAATCTCACAATTTCTAGCCATTAGGGTCCCCCTGAAGTGCAGGATATGTCAGGATGCTTTGCCTGAAATGTGCCCAAAGGACAATGCCCCATTTGTGGCTTTTGAGGTTGCACTGAGAGAGATCTTGTGCTGATTTTGGTGCTGAATTGGGCTAAAACCAACTTTGAATTGATAACTGAGGGTAAATCACCAGAGCTGGGCCTGGCCATCCATCAGCCTACCCTGGGAATGTCCAGTCCCCTCTGAGAAAGATTCCTCTCCCCTAGTCCTGCTTGGAATGAAATGTGTGGGAGGTTCTTCTCTTGGGAAGGGGATGCTCCTCAAGGATCCTCCTCGAGGCTGGGAGAAAGAGACGTTCCCACAAGTGTTGGTGTGGGGATTGACATTGAGCCTTGCTTAACAATTGTCACTTTTGGCTGGCTGTTACAGATTTATTTAATGGAATTGTTTTGACTGAATTATTTTATAGAACTGTTTGCACAATGGCTTTGGTGGCCACAGTGGTCACAGTGCCTGTGGTTTCCTCGTGGCTCAAGGAGCTTTGGTGATCATGGCGGCCAAAGTGGCCTTAATGGTGATTGTGACCATAGTGGCCAGAGAGGCTGTGGTGGCTGCAGTGGCAACAGTGACAGTGGTGGCCCCAGTTATCTCATGGTGGCAATAGCTGCCAGGGTGTCCCTAGCGGCAGTGGTGGCCTTGGTAGCCCTGGTGGTCTTGTTTCTCTGGGGGTCCTGATTGTCTTGGTGATCGTGGTGGCCACAGTGACAACAGTGACCTTGGTTGCCACAGTCACCACAGTTACCTCGGTGGCCTCATGGCTCAGAGGATTCCAGTGGCCAGTGTCAGGGCTGTGGTGGCCAGGAGGAGTCCTCCACCATGGAAGGGGGCACTGGGGACACTCCCATCTGAGGGAAAAAGATGAGCATCAGGGGGACCATGAGGGGAGTGAAGGGGTCAGGGATGGCAATAATGGAGGCTTCGGTGTTGCAGGAGAAATGGGGGCCATGAATTGACAGGTGAGAGGGTGTTGGGGGGGGCATGGGGGGTACAAAGGCCAGGGAGGTTGGGGGTGTCATGGTGGCCTTAGGAGTGACAGGGGTCAGGAGGAGTCAGAGGTGCCTTGAGGGAGGGGCAGGGGTTCTGGGAGTGCCAGGCACTTCCCGTGACCCACCCATATGCAGCACACAGGGCCCATCCCCACAGCATGGCCTTTGGCGGCACGGGACAGGGTAGGTACAGAGGGTCCCCATCTCTTTCCCTGTCCCTGTTGTCCCATGACACGGGTGTCCCTGTCCATTTTCCCTCCCAGAAGTGGGGATCCCCATCCCTGTGCCCTGTCATGGGCATTCCTGTCCCCACAATGGGTGTCCCCAGAATTGGGGTCCCCAGCACGGGGTGTCCTTGTCTTCCCCCACCACAGTGGGTGTCCCTGCAC